TTCACTACAAGCCACCTGCTCACACAGCACACCTATGTTAGAGCATTTTTATACTGGTTATGGGGAACAAGTTACATGTTTCTCATTGCGTTATATGTGGGCATGATCAGAAGTAACATTTTACGTCCGGGTGTACTTTTCTTTATCAAAAGTCCTGAGGACCCAAACGCGAGACTTATTCATGATGCAGTGGTCAAACCATTTTTGTTACAGGTACTGAGAATTTTTTTGAGTGCTAAAGTATACACTGCATTTATTGTTCTCGGTATTGGAAGCACCACATGGGGTCTCCGGTTTTTAGTAAGCCCACCAAGTGCTGAGAAGGCAGTACTTTTCCCAATTCGCTTGCAAGATGTGGCAATGATCTTTGTGCCCTTATCCCTTGGGCATAAAATCAAACCCCTACTTGCTAACCGTTGGAATGATTTTTGGAAATGGTCATTCTCCATGTTGTGCAGTCGTCTCAGGCTCTCCCATTTCTTACTAGGAGTGCCAATTCCTGAGGAAAGAGGACATGTGTTGTACAGAAATATACTTCAAACCTTTTTGGGTTTGGCTGTGCCAGATTTCTCGAGACCTTTAAGTTATTCGGAAGCTATGCGAGTATTTCAAGAGCATCCTGATGTCAAGGCTTGTTTTGTCCCCGACGGGAACTTTATTCGTGCTCCTGGAAGTGACGATAACTCGCACAAATTTTTACGGAGCCTTTTTGTTCCGGTCACAAAGTCTGACCAGCTTTTATCACCAGCAGAGGAGGTCCTAACTGATGAAGAAACAGACTGGTGGGACGAAGATATCCCAATACGAAGACACTTATACGGTCGTATACACCCCACCATACCTCAAGATGAGATGTATCGTCTTGGTTATTATGGTTTGCCTTTTCGGCGCACTTCTCTCAGTGTTCTTAGGTACCATTGCTCTATTGTTGGGCAGGCCGGTTGTAGTTGTTGCAACTAAGACTGGGTCTTTCTTATTCCCTAAGTTTGTTTCAAACAATATTGACTGGTCTTTTGCTGACTGCTCTTCCCTAAGCGTTGGAATCACAATAGAGCTTCTTATTGTCACATTTATTAGTGCTCAGCAGGATGGATTTGCCGTTGCTGATCTTTTTGCTGAGCAGCAACAACACGCTGTTGGTAGAGTGTTAGATGCGGGTATGAGAGGAGCGGGATACGCGATACTTAATATGCTTTCCGAGTCTATTGAGCAAGCTATTGACGTTTATATCCATATGACTTATATTTCGCTGTTGGAAAGATACTTTTTCGGGACGTCATTGGCAGGGAGCGGAAGAGTTGTGACCTGGCGAGGAGTACTCTTACATTGTGCTTTTCTTCCTTGGACCTACGGACATAAGATTTCCAATGTTTTCAAGCTCTTTACAAACGTAAATGAGCGTACATCATATCATAAGCTGAGGTTTCTTAGGCATGTGGGTATCTGTTCATTTTTCCTTTTGGACCGCTATTATCGTGCTTCTCAAATTCGGAATGGTGTTGTACTCACAGACAGAGAGGACATCATGTTGAAAGGACTAACTTTGGCCATGGTGGTGCTCACACAGAGTGCATTTTATCTCTCTTCCCTCCTCACGAATCTTCTGAAGCAAATCAGAGACGAAAAGTACGTGCGTGGAACTGCCATTGAGAACTTGGATGGAACAGAAGATAATTAGACAATGTCGTTAAGTAGTACATAGGATTTCAATAGTACATTATGATAATGATTGAAATGGATCAAAAAGGAACATAATAGTGACAAACACATTTTACGCTAGTCACTTTCATTAGACTCGTTAAAAGAGACATTTGTTGCGTTTTTCCGCTTCCGTCCTCGCTCCTTTTTCTCTTTCCGTTTCTCTTTTTTCGTTTCCTTCGTTTCCTTCTCGTCTTCTTCATCGTCAGCAAAGAGCTCTTTTTCGTTGACATTGTTCGTGTCGTACATCTTTTTCGCCTTTTCGATATTCGCAAGTTGCTCACGGATGTAACTCATTCTACCCAACTTCAGTGGATCGTTTCGCAAAGCAAAAGGTAGATCATCCATTTTGATTCTTGAGCGCCCATGAGACCTGGCAAACTGGAGCGATTCATGCGATAAGTCTGTGAGAAACTCTACCAAACAGTCTTCAAGACAACTCACTGTTGCATCTTGCGAAACAGGGCCATCACCCAAAGCATATAGCAATGTCTCAATTTCTTTTGTGAAAAGTCTTGGTCTGCGACGCCTTCTAGGCGGCATAGAAACACGGTATGGGTACATTGACAAGAGAAGCTAAGCTGAAGACCTCTATACTGAATGGTAATTAAAAGTATAGGAATGTGTGTGGTGTACTGATTTCTGAGAACACCGTAACTTGGTACAGTTTATCATCCACATAAAAGTCTAATATTGAAGTCATTATATAGACCATACAAACGCCTTTTCCTTCTCTTTGATATCCTGGAAAAATGATACTAAACTTATCTTGCTAACTCCTCTGCCAAAATAGACTCCACCACACCAGTAGGGGGGTCAGGAAGCAGAGAAAATGGCAATGTTCCACGAGAAAACTTTCGCAAGTAATCTAAAAGGTAACCTTCTTGAAGCTGCTTAGTAGTTATGTGATGAAGAAATCCTTCCTTCTCAAACTGCGCAGCGACTTCTTCTTGGTGGTTGTCCATCAACTCCAGATTCGATACCACCAAAAGCGGTTTCTTAAGACGCAATGAATCAAGAATAGATCCAGTTCCAGCATGGGACACAACAATGTCTACTTTGGAAATGTAGTCGCTTATATGAGACGAGAATGCAAATACCACGAGCAGGAGCCTTCCATTTGAAAAGTGCGTAACACTCTTATCATTCGTTTCGTTAACGATTCCTAAACCAAGCTTTTCAATCAACTGTGACTTTTGCATGACTTCATTCAAAAAGTTTTTACTGACATTTGTGTTATTAGAGATTTCATTTCCGTATTGTAGGTATATGGTAGAGTACCCGAGCTTTTGAGCTTCTAGTAAGAAATCTAGGTCAGCAATATAACTCACAAGAGGCTTGAATGTAACAGTTGCTCCTGTGGTGACTAGAATGGAGGACATGGGAATGTTGTAGTGGGTGATTGTAAAATGTCCGATTCGATGATCAATTATTCAAAGATGAGCTGTTCAAAATTAAGGTCTTTCTCAGTGATCGATGGTAATCAATTGGTGGGATTACAAAAGAGATGGTGTAGTTCAAGTATGACCAAGTCGGTGTTCAAAACATCCACATTGTTCGCGCATGAATAATTGCACTAGTAAGCAAAATCAAAAACTTCAAAATAACAAAAATCAAAAACCGAAAAATGAAAAAAAGTGGTCATTAAAGTTCAGATAAATATATAAGATCATCTAGAGAGTATACTGGAATATTCTAAAGATTTTACGCAGTGCTTTCTGACATACTCACCATTTGAAAGAGACGTTTTTTGGAGTTGGAACGGAGTTCATGGTTTATCACTTCATTCCATACTATGCAAACCCATAAAGACTTGGCGAAATAAATGCGTAATACGCAAACATGCAGTTTTGTTTTGGAAAGGTCGACTGGTAGATGCTTGATGGAAGCAACTACTATGAATAGATTAGCAGTTCCTGCAATTTACGACTGTGCGCTTTATGGGAGACTGCCGCCACATTCGTATTTTCATTGTTTTGTATTGTGTTGAAATGTATTGGCAAGAATACCCACCCGACAAATGCACTTGGGGCTTTAGTATTACGAGTGAAAATCTTTGGGTTAACGTGTACTGAAACAGGTGAAGGTTTACTGTTTCTTCGTGCGAGATTGTTCAAACGTAACCACGGTTTCCATTTAGTTTACAGGCATATTCGAGGCTAAATAATATTACATTACTCGCACGGCTTTGGATGACATGCTTAAGCACCAAAGCGTAAGGAGTGCAGAAAAATATACGTTGAAGTTACAAGCAATCCTGAATCGGCCATTACAAAGAAAATACTTTCATTTAAGGTGAAGAGGAATGAAATAAAACGACTACAATGGAAAGCAATAATAAAATGGGTGCACAATAGGAGCAGCAAGGTTCACCAGTTATTAAATTAAATCACTCTATTACGATACCGTAAACGAGTCACCTGTGGCATCGGCAAAAAAATATCCCAATGCCAACACGGCCAATCGGTGAAAGGCCCAAAAGTGCCAGAAATGACCTGGTTGGATGCAGTACCTATCCACACGGACCAAAAAAACACTCCGCGACTCGAGTTGCCGATATTATATGCCCTACCTTGTGCTTTTTAACTGTCGTGTTTTAAACAACCTGCTCAGTAGTAAATCAAAGTATGGAGTGGTATTTGTCACAAGTGTGTTTGATATCACGTAATGAAAACCTTTTTCTCCTCTGGTTCAACTTTTGGCCGTGGCAGCGGCTGAAGACGGGAGAATGCGCAACTACCCCGGATTTCGAGTTCGGGGCGGATGCTGCACATAAACCGAAACTGAAACTTCCCACACAGGAACGACGTGGCAAATTGTCAAGGGTAGAGGAAGGCGGAAGGAGAGAAGTGTGGTTAAATAACGGCGGAACTATGTTAATGGGCCTCGGGATCCTTGGCAGTTCTCGAGCGAAGAAAAGATTCGGTCAAAGACGGCCCAGGTTACCGTTTGAAAAGTCCGAAGAAGCTAAGATCGCAAGGCGCGGCGGGTTTTTTTTATGCATACAAGGCGCAAACGGGCCATTTTCTCGGTGAGCTCCAGATAACTTCCTGTACATGGCGCCATGCCCGCGACCCATTTTTTCCTTTTCGTCACCTCACTATTGTCCTCCATAGTAATCTGCAATCCCCCATCTTCTCTTTCCCCGGACATAGCACTTAGGCGCTTTCAAGCCCAAGTAAAAAATTTTCTTCTGTTTCTTTTCGCTCCCATTTACATCCCCTTGCGCACACTTGCCCGTGGATTTCCAGTTTCCCTCACTTAGGTAATCTCTAGTTGCCTCTGTGCTTGAAACATCACTTTCCGTGACAACACACAAACGAAGCAGGAAAAGCTCCAAGGGCTTGAAACTTCCAGCACACAAAGGCTGGAAACTAGTAACAGGCCCCACAACATTCTGTCCTTGCTGCCACGCGTTACAACAGCTGCTTTAGAATCTACCACCACATCTCCATCAACCCGAAACTCCGCCATGCTCGCCAACTCGGCGTCGCCCAAAACATCGCTGCCCGCTCTGGCCGCGTATAACGGTCCCACACAGCCTATCCCGAAGAAATCTCTCCAGATTCGTACAGATAAACCACGTCCCCATGTGTGTACCATTTGTACACGTGGGTTTGCCCGTTTAGAACACTTGAAGCGCCATGAGAGATCGCATACGAACGAAAAACCATTCCAATGTGCTGCGTGTGGACGTTGCTTTGCTCGCCGTGACTTGGTGCTTCGCCATCAACAGAAACTACATCTGCACATCGCACTGGTGGTACGTCCAGATCTGGTGCTGGACGGCAGCCTCTCCCCTCCTAATGATCACATCATCATTTTGCACAACAACACTAATGCGAAAGCACCACTTCCCAACGATCCTGTGGAGTCAGATAGTGTGTCTGGTCGAGAAGCCCAAGTCTCGAGTAGGAAACCTTCATCCCAACTTGAGACTCTTTCTCAGCCGCTCACGCATGAATCTTCACAGCCCCTTACCGATATGAACCAATCTATGGCTGTCCTGTCCCCTGAGTATCACAAAGCACACTTCAGGCAAAATTTTGGTTTTATGCCTGCCCTTCAGGACCATTCCATGCCTTCTCCGCACACAACGTCAAGCCATAACACGCCTTCAGGTGCAAGACCCACAGGCAGGTCCTCGGTGGATGCATCTAGTTTGAATATGGAACTCCAAGAACCCTCTCCGTTGACCGGTGACTCTCCCGATTTGAAGGAAAAGAAGAAACTGGCATGGAATGCGTCAATGGCGGATAACAACCATTCACATCGACATGCTTCCTTTTCTGCGGTCTCTGGTATTTCTTACACTAACATTAAAGATGCTTTGTCTATCGAGAGCCATCAAATTTCTGGAGCACCGACACAGGTGGGTTTCGCTACTCCGCAACTTACAGCGGCAGAAATCGATTCGAAGGGACTTCTGTCTGTAGACTTTGGATCTTTAGACTTGGAATGGTACAATAATAATTTCCAAGATAGCTTGAAGGATGGCAAAGTTGGTTACCGACTGAAACTAGACACCATCCCTTCCGAGTCACAGTTGGCTGGAAATGGACATGGCCAAACTCCTTTTTTTGCCGACTCCGTTATGGCTGCCCATCAGTTTCAAGATCCAAGCCACCCACATCATATACCGGGAACCACGCCACTTGAATTTTCTTTTCCATCAACCACAAACCTTCAGCAGTCTTTGTTCAACGATGCGGATAAAGAGTTTTCTATTAATGGTACCGGAATAGTTAATATGACGGGAGAAATTGTCGGTTTAAACAAGGATATCGACGCGACAAAACAAAACACGCGCAAGCATCAATCTGCGTCGCCTTTATCTCGCACGGATTCTAAAAAGCCTAAGATCGGTTTCTCTAATGACATTGATGATCTAAATTGGGTCAATGAGTTCAAAGCTATCCCGCTCCTTGATGACTTGCCCTCCGCATCTCATGATACAGGCTTTCTGGGAATGCCATTCATAGCAGACCAGTACGAACCTGACGAGGTTGTGTCGTTATTCAAATTACGACAAGAGGATTTGGTAAAACAGCGGAGTCAAATGGACTTGAGTGTACTTTCTCCGCAAACTTCTGAAAGGCTGACATCATCTGCACCAAGGTCCAGTTCTAGAGTCAAATTTACTATAGGAGAATCCTCCGACTTTATTACAGAGGAACTTCGGGCTAAAATTGTGATGTCTAGCAATATGACGGATTCCCAGATTCCCCCATTGGAGGACTTGAACTCTTACATTAATCTTTACGAGAGTGAATTCAACACTTACTTTCCGTTCATTCACATTCCAACGTTGCGAAACCCAATGGTTGACAACTTTGAAAATATTCCTCTCATATTGGCAATGTGCTCTATTGGAGCTCTTTATTCCTACCACGACAGTAACACATTGCTTCTTTTTAACTTGTCGAAGTATCACATTTATAATTTTTTCGAAAAGGAGGTTACAGCCGACAAGTTGCAATTCAAAAAGGTTCCAATAATGGCTCATCAAAGTCTTGTGTTGCATATTTTCATCTCTATGTTTTTAAATGAACCAAACCTGGCTGAAATAACATTAAGGCAAATGACGTCCATGGTGGGATTGATCAAATCGACGAACTTCCATCGTCCTTTGGAACTTTTTTTGGTTCCTCCTCCTACTATCACCAATCCTAATGATCTAAGCATCATCCAAAACAATTTCGACTACTTTATTATGGTCCAAACACGGATTCGTACCATTCAAACGTTCTACCAGTTAGAAGTATTGCGTAGTGCGTTACTTGGCACACACCTACCAATGCGAGGATCAGAAATCCTATCTGGCTCTCCCTGTAAGGACGAACTGTTATGGAAAGCCAAGAACGCCACAGAGTGGTATACCCATTACAAAAAATACGGCTCTGTTCCACTCCTGAAAATTGCCAATAATGAGTCTATGGAGTCTCTCATTCAAGAATTGAATACTGGATGTAATTCCAGAGATGTTGGTAATTTGAGTAAATCCATGTCGATGTTGATGATTGCTCATGAACAGATACTGGCCGCATATTTGTCACATAAGGCGAATAACTTGCCATTTGATGCGTTGGATTGGAGGGTCAACTCACGCCCTAAGCTTGAGAGTTTATTGAAACTGTGGGAGGCAAGCTTCGTTATCAATGGAGGATTCAATGTGGTGAATAATTACAACCATCATTTGCTCAATAGCAGTCATCAACTCAAATTGTTGTTCCCCTTACTTTCCTTAGCAAAAATCAGAATTTGCTTGAATATTGCACCTGTGATGGATAAAGCACTTCGAAAGGACTGGAAAGGGGATGAATGAAATACTTCAACTTTGGACATCTGATCTTGAATCATTGAATGAGGCGACATTATCTGGTATTGAAATTTTGAAATTGTGGGTGCACAACATATCCGTTTTGAATGATCCCAAGAAAACGTCTGTTCGTACACCTGTTTTCTTCGTCACTTGTATTTTTGTTGCTGTTATGGTTCTTTCTACGGCTTTAATGTCCATCGAAAACTCTCAGAACCTCAGTGTATCTGATAAAGCCTTATGGCTCAATGCAGAAAAGGTGCTTAGACGAATCGAAGCTACGCTCAGCCCAATTGAAGAAACAAGTTCCTACGTCGAGTCATTGAGAAGCCAATCTCAAGGATTATTTGACTATGCTTGGAGTACGACTCTCAAGTTGAACATCAAAAATGTCATCAGCACTATGAAAGAAGGTTCGCCTCAGGCATGTTGTGCTGCTGTCAAAAAATGCAAGCTTCTGGTTCTTTCATTATGTTTGGGAGTTCGTATGTTGGCAGATGCACCATTGTGGCCTCTTGCTATGGGATTTGCTGAAGCTTTGAAGAACCTTGCAACGATTAATGACGTCAATGACGAAAATAATACCGATTGAACTGCTTAATATTTATTGGCTGGAGTATAGATTATAATAAACTTCCAGCTAACTTAATGATAGTTTTTACCTTAAACAAGACGCATGGTAAGGTTTTTGTAATAGTGCGCAAGAAAGAAAATGATCTAGCTAATTCTCCTTGGTAGTACTATCTAATCTTTGAGAATGCATGGAGCGCATCAGAAAAAAAAAAAAAAAAAAAAAAGAAACTGACATCATCTCCAACTACACAAGGTGTCGGGATTCAAAATATTCAACTTGGGATTTCTTTCCAAAATTTCCACACTAATGACCGCAGAGAAATTAAATGGAAGAGCTCTCTTTGAGCAAATTGGAAGACCCAAAACCATTGTTGCCCCAATGGTAGATCAATCCGAACTTGCATGGCGTATCCTTTCCAGAAGATACGGAGCCGAACTTTGTTATACCCCCATGTTTCATGCCCGTCTCTTTGCAACAGAAGAAAAATATAGAAACAAAATGTGGTCCGAGTGGGATGGTGATAGGGAGAAAGATCGTCCATTAGTGGTGCAATTTTGCGCCAACGACCCAGAATACCTTTTGCAAGCAGCCAAATTTGTCGAAGATAAATGTGACGCTGTGGATTTAAATTTGGGTTGTCCACAAGGAATCGCCAGAAAGGGGAATTATGGTGCGTTTTTGATGGATGATTGGGACTTGGTCTATAAATTGATCCGCAAGCTACATGACAACTTGAAATGTCCTGTAACGGCAAAGATCAGAGTTTATGATGACTGGGAAAAATCTTTGGAATATGCTAAAATGGTTCTTAGTGCAGGTGCCCAATTCATCACGATACATGGCAGGACGAGGGACATGAAGGGTCAAGCGACTGGATTAGCTAACTGGAAGATTTTGCGCTACTTGAGAGACAATTTGCCTTCCGACCAAGTTTTTTTTGCCAACGGTAACATATTATATCCGCTGGATATTAACCGCTGCATTGATGAAGTTAGTTGTGATGCGGTGATGTCGGCGGAAGGTAATTTGTATAATCCAGGTGTGTTCTGGACGAAAGATGATGACAAGGATAAGCAATTCGCACGGGTAGATAAAATGCTTCGAGAGTACTTTGATATTGTGAGGACTTGCCCAGGTGAAGCTTCACGGGTGGCGATGAAGGCCCATTTCTTCAAGTTATTGCATGCGTTTCTTAATGTCCACAAAGAGTTGCGCCCAATCATTGGACAGACTAGCGTAAACGCGGATTTTTCTGTCTGGGATGATATAGTCAAAAAAGTGGAAGCGATTGTCGAAGATATATTCGCGCAGCCCAACATTGCTGAACTAGACGTGATCACAGAAGGTGAATTGCAATCATGGGGAGGAAAGTACAAAACTATTCCTTACTGGAGATGTCAACCTTACTTCCGAACAGTTGACGGTGAAAAGCAAAATACTCGTGTGCTCAAGGTTGCTGCCAGTGGAGTTGCTGAAGCAAAGAATGAGAAAAAGCGTCCTGCTGAAGAAAACACGGAGCCAACAAAAAAGATAGCGGTTGAGCTGGTGCATTAATATATATAATTTTTTTGGTCATACAGGGACTTTCCATAATAATTCATTTACGCTTCGTATTCTAAATGAAACTCATCGGACTCAAAAGCATAGTATGAACATTTTAAATTCGATATTCTGTAAGTACCTACTGAGAGACATTTGTTGGAGCAGACTCTCAAATTAACATTATACTATTACACACAAAATTGAAATAAGACGTCGTGAAATATCATTTTTTATTCCAAGTTTTTGTGCTTTTCTTCATCTCGCGCAACTTTTCGGTAAAAAATGCAAATAAGTACCGGGTATAAGTCCACACTTCATAGCGATCCGATTTGTCTGATAAAACGAATTATCTATTAGAAAAAGAATAAATGAAGAAAGAGAAAAATTTTCTGTCTACATCCTGAAACGCAAGTCTACAAACTGGTAAGAAAATACTACATTACCTTCTGATGATCACTAGTAACAGACTGTATTACCAAGTCTGATGAAATTTTATAGCAGATAATTCTCCCATTAGGGCTAATGATGTTCATTTCACAGTAAACGTAGAATTGCAATTGGTCATTTTAGTCATATTAGCTCACATCAGGCCATAGAGCTCAAACGAATTTCATTGTAGTGGCATTGGTTTTTAATTGGCACTGAAGAGCTTCCGTCAAACTCAAATACTTTACAGCTCCCTAAGTAAAGTGAAATTGGTTCAGAATCAAGGAAGGACTTTTTATTGATGATTCTCTAAATTTACTGGCAAAACTATACATGTAGTGGTAGTATTATTTTGCGCGAATCTCTACGATTATCCAGACTGCTCTTGTAACCTATTTCGAAGTCTTTTCAACACCATAATGATGAGACATAGTGCTGTTCAAATTCCCGCTTTGAGTGGGGTTGCAGAATCTGCAATCCTTTTTGTCCATGGGCTTGGAGACTCAGGCAATGGCTGGTCGTTTTTTGCTCCTTTGGTCCAGAGATCAGGAATTGTCAAGTCTGCCCGCAATACGAGATTCATTTTTCCTAATGCTCCTGAAAGGCCAATTACTGTGAATGGTGGTATGATGATGCCTGGCTGGTTCGATATTCATACTTTGGGTGATAGAAGAGGCAAGCAAGATACCGAGGGCTTTTTAGAGTCGTGCAATCTCTTAAAGTCGTATATCAAGAAGGAAATGGAGGAGAACAAGATTCCACCAGAAAAAATCATCATTGGTGGGTTCTCGCAAGGTGCCGCAGTAGCGTTGGCCACATTAGCTTTGCTTGATTTCAAAATTGGTGGATGTGTCGCTCTTGCGGGCTTTCTTCCGATCCCCGAAAAAATGAAGGAGATTTTTCAAAAAGACAACTGTCCTAATTTGACTACTCCTATTTTTCAAGGCCATGGCGACTCGGACCCAGTGATTGCCCATGCTTATGCTCTTGAAACTAGTGAGACTTACAAACTGTTGGGCTTTTCGAATTATAAATTTCAAACGTACCGAGGACTTGGACACAGCACCAACGAGAGAGAAACCCAAGATGTCTTACACTTCATTTCACTGATTTTGGATTAGACTCAAACTTTGTAGCAAAGATCTTTAGTACTATCCACTAGTATGAATCCAACTATCCTGCATAATGTACATCAAGAACTATACACCTAAGCGTGGTTTTATCAGACTCTGTAGCACATTCTCTGTCATAATACCAATGGACCCGCTGAGCTCTGGATTTCTCAAAGGAATGACCAATTTAGGCTTCCGATCGTCCCCTGGACCAGATATGTCAGTTAAAGACAAGCGGTATTTGAGCCAAGTTGAAAAAGCATTGGCCACGTTTGACGCCTTAGATGAATGGGCAGATTATATTGCATTCCTTTCAAGACTTCAGAAAGCTCTTTCTCTTTCGGAACATCAGGATCATACCCTTTCTTGGATTCCTGCTGCTGAAGAAGTGCTGGCCAAATTGGCTCTTTGTCTATCGCCCAATTTACCCAACGGTGTACATCAAAAGGCCTTAACCATTTATGATTCTATCTTCTCAGCATTGACAGAGGCAGAGATCAATAAGTCGGTTTTTATATGGCTTCCAGGTTTGTTGCCGGTGGTGTCTTATGCATCGATGCAAGTAAAACCACAGCTACTCGACCATTTCAAGAATCACATCCTTCCACACCTCGAACAGGAATCATTAAAACAAATCACAGAACCTTTCATTCTATCGTTACTTGCAGGCATGGATGATCAAAATTCAGAAGTTTTCGCCGATATCATGAAGTTGATGGATGAGTTCAAAAGCAAACTCGACAACAGTTCTCACTTCTGGAAGACCTTCTTCACTTGCATAATATCAAGTCCAGAGAAAAGAATGGGTGCTCTCCACTGGTGTAACTCAAGGTTACCCATCTTTGCGACGTTCAAGGAAGGAGACACCTCCAAGTTCCCACCTGAAGCTCAAGCTTGTTTAAAGCCTGAACCTGGAATTCTTGCCCGTGCTTTTGCCTCAGTTTTTGCCTCAAACTCATCTTTCAACCAAGCCAATGATATAATAGTTATGCGTGGCTTTTTTGATTTATTACTCACGCACATCCCATTAGGATCGGAAATTCTTAATTCGATATTGGCACCAGAAGACAAAGAATTACTAGTGATGACAGCTTGCAAAGTCACTTTGAAGAGAGATATGAGTTTGAATAGAAGGTTATGGGCATGGCTTCTTGGGCCGGGAGTTAGCGATGAACCTGATAAGAGTAAGCAAACAACATATTTCAAAACTAATGCTCTACCTGTGTTAGAGAGAGGTTTGCTCAAGCTTGTGAACTCAGATGATACTTCCAAAAAGGTTGAAGCTTTTCGGATTGCACTTTCTCTTATTATGGATAGGTGGGAAATCAACGCGCTCATTACACCCAGGTTGTTCGTACCTATCATCAAGTCAACCTATGATTCCATGAAGCAAAGGGGAGAAAATTCTCAAGATGTTCTTGTATCAGCAAAGTCTTTCTTTGATGAGGTCGAAGCCAGTTTCATTTGGCAATACGTTACTTGTGACTTGATTTTGGCCAGTTCACCTGAAAACTCGGATATTCTTGAGTTTCTTTTACGGAATTTCAACTTCCCCGAAGAAGAAAAGTCACTTCATGTGGGGCTTGCAATTGTTGGTTTGCTTTCAAGTTCAAATCTCTGTGATAGATCAACCTTGATGCTTGAACTGTTAGTTGAGATAGCAGATCCTGCACTATTTTCTCCTTTAGAGGAGAACACAGACTTGTCAGTATATGACGAAGCAAAAATCCCAGATATGCTAAAGACATTCTACAATAATGCAGTGAAGGGCGAAGAGAAAGAACCTCCTATAGCTGGTTCTGCACTCTCATTTCTCATTTTAGAATATCTCAAAAAGTGGTACGTGGAAACATTCAATAATATTGAGTTCAGCGACCGCATCTCGAAGCTTTTGAGTGAATTTCTCTATTCTATTCCTAATGTTGATCTTGTTAATCCTTTCCGAGACAAGGAACTTATACAGGTTATTCTAACTTGTCCACCATGCCATTGGGAAAGGAAAACTCAAGAAAGACAAGATATGTTACACACTGTATTCGGAATTGTAAGACTCTGTCGATTCCTTGTGAAATTCACGACTCCAGCAGAAAAGTCCAAAATCTTGAAGATTATTTTATCCAATTTATGGTATCCCCTTATTACATCTGAACCTGCAAATAATCAAGTTGAGGCCGTTCGTCTCATATTTGATTTAGAGCTCTGTTTTGATATATGCCACATTGAGGCCGGGATTTTAGAAATGCTTTTAAAGTCGCCGAGCGAAATGAAAACACGTTCCTTTTACAAACTTTGGGCTCACTCGGCTGGTTTGAATAATGCCGACAATCTTCTTTCCAACCCACTTCATACTGTCCTTGATGATTTATTAAGTACAGAAAAAGGCGATTACATGGCTGCCCAAAAGTTTGTATACAATGCTGTGGTAGATGGGTCGGCTAATCGGTTACTAATGCTTATTACTAATCCCCTCCTAACATTCGAATTCATGAAAAAACAACATGTTGAGCTTTCGAGTCATGATGATTTAAAGCTTTTTACATATTATTTGCGAACTGTGCTGAATGTGATCAAAAGTAATGAAAAATTATTGAAGGATTCTTTCAATCATGAATTTGTTGTGTCTGAAAGTACTGAAAAATTTGAGCTAATAAAGTCGAATGGCTGGGACATCTCCAACTATAAATCGCTCATCATCTGCATTATTGAAAAGTTCCTCAATTTGCAAATATCAAAGGAGATGCTAAAGGATTCTTCCCATCTTTCGACTTACTCTTCTTGCATTTCGTTAGTTCTTGATTTATTTTGCCTTTTCTCAACGGGATCAGAAACAGATTTTGAAAACCATTTCCACATGTTAGTAAATCGCTCTTTCAAATTTTTCAAAGAGTTGGAACATAAGCCTCACGAGATGGAAATAGTGGAAGCTAGTTATATTCAGGCAATCTTGCACTTTTTGAAAGCTGCGAAACTGTTAAATGTTGATCTAAAATTGGCAAAGCCCTCAGAAGAATCGAAGAATCCCTCACTCGTCAATTATATCATACATGGGATTTCCACATCTCAATCATCGCTCTTATTGGAAAAATGGCTTTCTTTACTCACGACTTCATTGTACATGTTCAACGATTCAATATTCAGTGTTATCTTGACGATCAATGATTCCTTGATCGATAAATTGATGAAATACTTCGAATTGGTGAGAAACTTCCTGAATGATAATGAGGACGCAGACCTTGAAGCATGCATTAGTATTTTGCTCTCAGGATTTGAGGATTTTCTTTCCATATGTCATTCGTATCTTCTTACCTCAAATCTTCGTGCCACAGCCCAAACATCCACATCTGAGAATGGTTTCTTAGGAAATATGATTCAAGGAGTCTTTCAAATAGAATCTCCTTCTGTGCGTACAGAAGAGCAGAACAGGCTCTATTCTATTTTAATAGCATTCAGAGACGCTTCTAGAGCAGCATTTAAGATTTGGAGTTGGGCAGATGCAAAGCCAGCAGCATCTGGGTGCAAACATGCCTCAGCACGTTCAATCAACTATTTGTGCACTAGACTCAAATTCCGCTCCCGCAAATTGCTTGAGTGCTTAAGTGATTTGGAGAAGCAGGAAATTGTTGAAACAATTATAGAGTCTCCTTCTGATGTTAACGATATTGTTAAGATTTTACATGTCCTTGATGGTGGCCGAGCTCAAATGACATTACCTCGAATCTTGAACTCTATCTTAACAAGATGCGCGCTGCTGTCCGTTGATGAGAAATCGAGATTCTCTCTTAACCCAGATTTATCGTATGAAAACTTGTCATCGTTCTTGGTCCCATATTTTGAGTCGCTTGATCTGGATACAGTAAATGAAATCTGGGAAGATTGCACATCTTTTTTCAAGGATGTTTTGTCCCGTCCATCTCACTACAAGCAACTGTTGTTGTCTTATTTAGAGGCCGTCAAAGTCTTGTCATTGAAAATTGACTACAAGAGAAGTTTGAAACGAAACAATAGAGAATTAGCTCTGATATTCATGAATTTGCTCCAAGCAACGATAAATAATAGAGATTCGATTGTTTCGGATAAAGATGCAATTAAACGGTTATCGAATCTTGTGGAATATTTAAGCGACATCCTCCAGGACTCTGATAAGACTAGTACTGCAGTTTCGTCGATCATAAGTGCATTTGTACTTCCACAATTGAAGCAAAAGCTGGCTGATGTGGATGATGCAATATTGGTCTTGATTGAGACGATTGGGTTGCATCATCCTCTTAAGGCATGGAAACAGGTCATTTCAGAAGTGTATTCTGATAACTCATTTTTCTCCAGCGATAAATTCATGAAGGAGGGATGGAAAAACTCGGTGAGAATCTGGGTGTCCAAAGATAAGGAGAAAATGTCCGATTTAATTGCAAGGGTGACTCCTTCTGTCCAATCTTCTGCCGCTAACATTTTCATTTGGAATGAGCATTCTGAAGTGGAGGACAGGGTGTTCATTTTGAAGCGTATTTCATATTTGCTCATGGTGCAACCAAAGGACTATTTCGGCGATAGTTTAAGTGATCTTTTTTCCAAACTCACACTTGCTCTTGGCAGTTCATGTCCTCCATTGTACAAGAGAGAAGCTTTTACGCTCATCCGGGCCATTACCTTGAGTTTTAGCGAAATGGCATTGCATTCGTATTGGACACCCATCACGCAATGTTTGATTGAGGTGTTTAGCCTGGTAATTAAAAGAGGGCCGAAGGAATATGGATCTTTGGACAAGGAGGAATTGAGTTTTATTTTGTCAGCCAGCAAGTTGTTGGATCAGCTTCTCTTGATTGGGTTTGATGAGTTCCGCTTGAATGAATGGCTTTTCGTTTCTTCTGTATCTGCCACTGAAGTTTCACGAGTACCCATGTCATTGATTGACAAATTAGCAGCGCTGACTGAGTCTCTTTTAACGAAAGAAGATCCGGTGGTAGTTTCACAAGCAACAGACAGCGTGGAGGTGAAATCTCTACTCTATGGTGTGCGGTCTATTCAACATCTCGCAAGTTTGAAGAGATTCTTTGGTCTGCTTAGCTACGTGAATTACGAGCGGAAGTATGGCTTACATACAGCTGATATTGTTTCGTGTGAAACAGATACAATGATGGATATCGCTTATAAATAATTTTGATGCGTCGCGACTACGCGATTAACAAGCATCAACAAAAATTATACACACACTTTATGTACAAACATTGAATCAATAACACGAAACTAGTTTAAATGCAATCTACTCAGAACTCACTAGGATTCACAATCCGCCGAGTCACATCCGGTCTACTGCCACAACAAGTGAGGTCGGAAATAGGTGAAAGATTCCGAAGGGATGCACTGTCAGATTTTGAAGATGCTCGCATCGAAACACCCATTACCATAAGAGAGAGCACGCAGTCGTGGAAAGATTCGAGAAGTGCAGCTGAGTCCTCATCTCCTAAAACCAATGGGGATGAACCACATGGGGCAGCTGAGAGATATCAGAGCTTTTTGCTCAGAGAAAGAGAAACCATTCGCAACGAACATCTTATTGGCAAGAGCACCGAAAGCCTATCCAATCAATATGGAGCCGGAAATACCTCCAGCCTGTTACTTACTCATGAGCAACCCAATGAGCAGGAAATAGAATTCGACTCCTCTGATAGGGAAGAAGTCCTGTCACTTCCATCAAAGTCCCATAAAGAAGACATGACTTCTGGCGCCAGTACCAATCTCTTAACTAGCAACGACACTGACAATTACAAAACTAACCTTACGCGTACACCTCGGAAAAGGTCGCCGCTACGAAAAGAAGTTCGAGTTAATTCAAGTAGCGTGAAGTCAGCAGCCGAGGAAATCGCAGGACAGATTGCTCGTAGTGGGGCAACAAAATCCAAATCAACTCAGGAGATCATAGACCAAATCAACTCCAGTGTGGAGCGATTACGAGAGCGGGATATGGCTACTCTTGTTGGTGCAGATACTGACGAGGAGCTGGAAGATGATGGCGAAATACTCCGCAGCCTCGATGAATTTTTGCCGAAGGTGACTTCTAATATTCTACCCGAGAATGATTCACCTGATGAAAATAGTCCATCTTTAAAAAACAACCAGTCACTTCGACATCTGCCTACTGATAGCAATGTATCTGTGCAAAGAAATATTCCCATTTTGAACCCATCTCCGCTCATCCAGCCAGCTTCAGAAAAGAAGTATACTCCCCTTCCAAGTTCTCCTACACGCAATCCAACATCCTTCAAAGATACAGCTGTGCTGCTAAGGAATGAATACAGTTCCACGAGATCGACTAAAAGAAGACCTGAGACTACGTCTCGAAAGCTTTCAGGAAAGTTTGCGAGAAATATGCTTCGCAAACGCCATTCATACAAACAAAACAGGTATCAAAACTGGTCGAAGAAAAAATGGGATAAATTGAAGGGTTTGTTGGCGCTGCTGATTCCTAAAGATGTGATTATTAACAGCAGTCTTGTCATGGAAGATCTTGGATGTAACAGATCAGAATTGATAGAAAGAATATGCTTTCTTGAACAAGGGAAGCTCCCCTCGTGACTACGCATGTATTATTCATGTTAAGTTAGTGATGTATTATATAATAAAATGCATGATATGTTAAAACACTTTTGAAAGCACACTTTCAAGATTATCGCTATTTTTAGCCTTTTTGAAAGACAGACCAGCTTCTGCACGCGTGGTGGTGACATCTCGCTGATCAAATGACCGCTTTGGAGCCTTTTTATCCTCCTTTCCTTCAGATTCCGCTTCCTTGCGCTTTCTGTTGATGTATTTGGATTTTTCAACATTGTTAACAAAAGTTTTATTGAGCTTGGCTTGCTGAGAGATTTCAAGGGCCAACTTCGATTGTCTGATTTCGTTCTCTTTTGCAATTTGTTGCGTCAAATCGAACCATTTGAAGCCTGGGAGATACTTGATATTGATAACGTCATCATGATAGTAAGACGATTTCTTTCCTCCCAAAATGTTACCGTTCATTGTTTGCGCACAGAGCTTAGCGTCCTTTTTATTGACAAACTCCACCCAACCTTCTGTGAATCTCTTTTTCTTATTACCACCATATTTCACTCTTCTCTGATAGGAACTAGGGTCTTCCGGTTTCAAGAAAATCCTGTCAAGTTTTCCGAATCTGGACAATACTGATCTTAACTTCACAGGCTTCATGTATGGAGGAATAGTTGACAAGTAACACACACCTGTCTTTTTGATCTTCTTCTGCTCTTTAGCAAGTTGTTCCGGAGTCAATTTCTTGAGCTTACTGGTTCTTTTCTTCTGCTCCTCAACCATTTCTGACGTTTCGTCAAGTTTTGCAGATGTAACTGACTCATTCTTAGTTACCGACTCTTCTTCCTCAGAATCGCCATCGGACTCATGGTCTTGAAACCTTTCTAGGTTTGACTTCTTTTTAGTTTGGAAGACAGCTTCTTCTTCTTCGTCATCAGAATCAAAGTCATCATTTTCGTCATTAGCCTCATGCTTCCTAGAATTTAATGCTTCAGAGTCACTTGACACATCAGAGTCCTCTTCAACAGCCAATAAGTCTTTGAGAGTATCTTGTTTACCCATGTTGTGATAAGTTTGATAAACTGGAGATGAGCTTAACAGATTGGTGTGCAGGAGATGATGAGAAACAGTATCTGGAAACAGCTTGGTGGAAGGATAAAAAAACTCCACTCCTCCTGTACACCGAAGTTAAAATACGTGAACGAAAAAGTTTTTTACTCGGTTTTAAAAAGCGACCAGATGAATTGAGGTATACCTCACAAGTTTATAGCTTTAGTACTGCTCAATTGTATTTGATTGTGAATTAAATAGTCGACACAACTTGTTTTTTCCGTATTCACAAAGTCCCTGCAAAAATATAGAAATAAACCACATACATTTTCTCATTAGAATTTTAGCGTGAAGTCAAAAAGATAATCAGAAGCCTATGTGCGTCGAATGCGACAAGAGACCACCTTCGTATCCGAGATGAAAACATCATCGTGATCCGTTGTTTTCCAGTAGATTTTTTTTTGAAACTTGGAAGCTTATCAGTTGTTAGCCTATTGTACAAGTATGACAATTTTAGTGATGCATATCAATCCCAATTGTTTGCATGAATCGACCAGGCACAGAAAAAACAGCCAAAAATTTCGTTGGCAATTTCATGGTATAGGCCGTTTCCTTTCCTTAAGTAAACTACCTTATTACATATAACTGCTCTTAAACTCGTTTAATTAATCTACTTACTTCTTGGTCTCGTCGGCGCTCTTCTTGGCACCCTCCAGAGCACCAGTGACAACGCTGGAAATGTACTCAGCAGCATTTGCAACTTGCTCCTTGGCGGCATCAATGTACTGCTCAGCAGTCTCGGCCAAGGTAGCTTGGTTCTCAGAGGTTGCCTTCTTAGCATCGTCGTGGCCCTGTCTAGTGCTGTCAGCAACAGTTTGACCAAAAGACTTTTGATCGTTTGGAGTCACATTGGCGGCAAACTTGTCAGCAGCATCAGTGACCGACTCCTTAGCCTTGTCGCCAAAGGTCTTTTGGCTTTCTGGGGTGATAGACTCGGTAACCTTGTCAGAGAAATTCTTTCTTCCAGCGTCAGACATTTTTATTGATTTTGATGTGTTTGTATACTGCTTCTACAAGTATGGTTATACCCTTCACTATTTATATGGGCTCGAGGGACCAATTTAGCAATCATTGGTCATTGAGCCTGTGTTGAGGCGCCGCGCATTGTAGCAATCATAGAATCGGCAATCAAAACCATGCCCCACATTTGACGTTCCGACACGAAGAGACGAAAAAGAAAGCAAACACTTCAAAAAAAAAAAAAAAGAAGAGCCACTACATATATTGGTGTCGCTAAATACTTTCTCCATTAGAATATATCATTCCAGACCGCTTTCAAAGAGCTTCGGTGACCGCTGGAACAATATGTTCTTCAAGATTGCTATGCATCCTGCAGACTGGCCACTACCATTGTAATTTATCGACACACCAGGGCCGGGTCGGCGCCACATAAGTCTGAGGAAGTGGCGCACGCGAACTTCTTTAGCGGAGGAACCGTAGTGACGTCAACAGATTTACGAATGTTCCTGGTGGAAGGTGTTTGAGTAGCCCGAACTCCGTCCTATGAGCTGACATTCTGGCCAATTGTCTCTGCTGTACTTTATTGTGGCGTGTGGGCAGGTTCAAAAGTGTAAGTGTAGATCTGATAAAGAGAAGTTCTTGATTGATTCAACATGACATCGTTTGTTTCTGAAACTCCGTCTTAAGCCGACTAAATGTGATAATACTTTATCAATTTGGACCCGGACCGGCAATATACAGGATAAAAATCTTGTTCAAAATACTCATCACCAAGTCGAAAGAGACAATACTAAGACAATTAATGGCCTTATGTCTTACAGTCCACTCTTTCAAGTCTAGCGATGTAGTCACCGATACAAGTTCGTCCTTCTTTAATTTTCGGCACGTGATATATCACGTGCACGATGCCCATCACTTTTCTGCCTGAGCATCACCTTTACTCTGAACCAAAAAAATGGCAAAAGGCGGCTCCGTCTCGCAGTCTATAGACCAGAAGGTATATGACCTAATCCATGAGCTTCTCCAGGAACGTACAGAGGAGAACAAAAGTGAGAACCCGGAAGAAGATCGTGACCTGCTTCTACATGTGGCCCTAGCTAGAGACCTTCGAGCACTGGATGTTGTGGCGTACGTTCAAGCAAAGGACTTTCAACTTAAGCGCATGAAGAGGGCTATTTTGGAAAAATCTGTTGATGTTGTCTTGAAGCTCTGTCGGGAAGATGAAGAGTCTGAGTTAGCGGAAGTTATTAGGCTTCAAGACGAAAAGGCACTTGCAAAAGCACAGGCTATTGACAGTGATTTTGAGGGTGTTGATCAAGATAACTTGATGCTGGTTCCAGAGACGAACTCTTTAAATAAGTCTGTTATTTCCATGTGGGAAAAGCAGGCAGCTGTGTCTCAAGACGAGGAAGAGAAGAAAGCCAAAAAACGCTCAAAGGAACATGGTAAGCATTCGAAGCAAAAGAAACCTAAGATTGAGCACACACCACCATCAATCACTTTATCATCCCTTGGAGGTCTTCAATCCGTGACAACCCAATTAATGGAATTGGTAGGCTTGCCCATTTTACATCCCGAGATTTATCAAACTACTGGTGTTGAGCCACCACGGGGAGTTTTGCTTTATGGCCCACCAGGTTGCGGAAAAACAACCATTGCAAATGCTTTGGCTGGTGAATTGCAGGTACCCTTCATCAACATTTCAGCACCTTCTGTGGTCTCAGGTATGTCCGGCGAATCGGAGAAAAAACTTCGGGAAATCTTTGAAGAGGCGCGTTCCCTAGCTCCATGTATCATCTTTATGGACGAGATTGATGCCATTACACCAAAAAGAGATGGAGGCGCTCAAAGGGAAATGGAGCGTAGAATTGTCGCACAATTACTCACGCTTATGGATGAGTTGACATTGGATAAGACAGATGGGAAACCTGTTGTAGTCTTGGGAGCCACAAACAGACCTGACTCTTTAGACTCGGCTTTACGTCGAGCAGGACGTTTCGACAGAGAAATTTGTCTCAACGTTCCTAACGAGGACCAAAGGTGTGCCATTTTGAAGACCATGACTTCATCTCTAAAACTTGAAAATGACTCAGGTTTCAACTATCGCGAGTTGGCAAAAATGACCCCTGGTTTTGTCGGTGCAGACTTAAAGAGTTTAGTCACAGCGGCAGGTATTTCAGCCATCAAGCGAATTTTCGAGAGCTTGAGCGAAATTGAAGCGGAGATTGTAAGCAAGACAGAGCAAATGGAAATAGATGGAGCGGTGGCTCCTGATCCAGCAGCCAACGCCACTTTTGCAAACAAGTCTGAAGAGGAGAAATTATCAACGATTCAAAAGTTTCTTTCTAAGCACCCAGATCCACTTACATCGGAGCAATTGGCTCCCCTTAGCATCACCTATGACGATTTCAAAATTGCATTACCTACAATACAGCCTACTGCCAAACGTGAAGGTTTTGCGACTGTTCCTGATGTAACGTGGAAAAATGTTGGAGCTTTGGCAAAAGTTCGTATGGAACTTCATATGTGTATTGTGCAGCCTATCAAAAAGCCAGAGTTGTACCAAAAAGTCGGTATTAGTGCACCAGCAGGTGTGCTTATGTGGGGTCCCCCTGGATGTGGAAAAACATTACTTGCAAAAGCGGTTGCCAACGAATCACGCGCTAACTTTATTTCTGTGAAAGGACCCGAATTGCTTAATAAGTATGTGGGTGAATCAGAAAAGGCTGTCCGCCAAGTTTTTCAAAGAGCTCGGGCTTCTGCTCCATGCATCATCTTTTTTGATGAGTTGGATGCGCTTGTGCCTCGCAGAACTTCTTCGCTTTCTGAATCTAGTGCTCGTGTTGTCAACACACTATTAACTGAGTTGGATGGCCTTAATGATAGGCAGGGGATTTTTGTTGTAGGTGCCACTAACAGACCTGACATGATTGACCCAGCCATGTTGAGACCTGGTCGGTTGGACAAAACGCTTTACATCGAGCTACCCACTGCGGAGGAAAGGTTGGAGATTCTTCGTACTCTTGTCAAAGCAAACAAAACACCATTGTCTTCGGATGTGGATTTGAATGTGATCGCTAATCACCAAAAATGTCGTAACTTTTCCGGTGCTGATTTGTCCCTGTTAGTTCGCGAGGCTGGTGTTTTTGCATTGAAAAAGAAGTTTTTCAGCGGGCAACAAATCCAAGAGTTGGATGCATCAGGGTACTACGTTGATAGTGCCAGCGATAATCTGATCGAGGTGACGCATGAAGATTTCTTGGGCGCTCTATCCAACATTGCCCCAAGTGTTAGCGATCGTGACAGAGCACGGTATGAGCGGTTGAATCTGCGTATGGGTTGGAATGTTATACAAGAGGAGCCGGAGACTAAGGAGGAGAAATAATTTAGAAGTCATTTATGACGAATAATTGGAGCCAAATTCATGGAACACCTTCAATGAAAGAGCATCGTAGAATTATGTAAACTCAACCGAGACTTTTTCAATTAATATATCAAGGAAATAAGAGTGGTTTGCGTGAATATTTGAAGGGTAAAACAAACAACTTGACCCAAAACCCAAATACGTCGTCCGAATGCGTACCGAAAGAAAAAGTTGTACGCAATGTAGCTACACCAGAGGACTTATAATGCCAAAAAAAAAAAATCAAAATCCGAAGTACACATATTGCGATATGTGGCGTTTATGTGTCAAGTACTTCTTTTCCTCTCCGAATTTCCATAATTTACACGTCTATTCGTGGGAAATCGCTATAACGAAGTGCGCGAAGATCTTTAGTAAGAACAGTTGCACCATACTTCTAAGTAATGCTTTGTGCTTTTCCCCGGTATTTGAGCCGTGTGTCTACACGCTATCTGTCATATGCCGTGAATGATGGCTCATATTTAGGCGACGCTCTTTCTCGTTCCATTGAACCAGTCGAACTCAGCTTTGACAAGCATCAACCTCTGGTACCTTCTCCTGTCCCAAAGTCTCCTTTGGTTTTCCTCCATGGTCTCTTCGGATCGAAAACAAACACGCGGACTGTGGCCAAGCAGCTTGCTCAAAAAATGGATAGGGATGTCTATTGTTTGGATTTGCGCAACTTTGGACAGTCGCCTCATTCCGATCGCCTAGATTATCCACTGCTTGCAGCCGATGTGGAACATTTCATTGAAAAGTCCAACTTTGAGAAAAAGCCCATTTTAGTGGGCCACTCTATGGGTGCAAAGACTGCTATGGCTGTCGCTTTGCGTCGGCCGGAACTTCCACAAATGTTGATTTCTGTCGACAATGCTCCTGTTTGCATTTCTGCTTCTGGCGGGCCTTTTGGAAAGTATGTACGGCAACTTCGGCATGCTTTGGAAGTGAAGCGTTACAAGAATATCAAAGAAGTGGACGCCGAGTTGGCAATAGTTGAACCGTCAAAAGAGGTCCGTCAATTTCTCTTGACAAATGTGGATAGAGGAAAGAAAGACGAGGCTTGTACATCAAAAATTCCATTGGAAATAATTGGGAAAGCAATTACTGCTGGAAATATTGCAGCATGGCCATTCGACCCTACAGTGTGCCGCTGGAGTAGGGGCCCAGCCTTGTTTGTGCGAGGAACAGAGTCCACCTATGTTCCAGACGAAGTACTCCCGGACATTGGACAATACTTCCCCAATTTCGAGGTTCGTGACGTAAAAGCTGGACACTGGGTTATCAGCGAAAACCCAAAAGAATTTATGGAAGTACTTGAAGAATTTGTCGCTCGAAAGGAGGACGAAGAGGATTAAATCCACTAGTTTTATAGAACCACTCAGCTGAATAGACTTTGCAAATAGAATACCTTTCATATTTCTCATTTCGGTCAATTATAACGAGTGTGATAATTTGTATATGTTTCGAAAAGAGCATGTTGACGGCTTTGACTAATAATGAGAGATCATCTAATTAAGTCAGGTTGGGACTATCACTGTCATAAGTTGATTGCTCTTCGTGCCTTTTGTCGGGAAAGATGTTTAACGCTCCGCTGTGAAGGTGTGAAATCAAATGGATGACAAATTTTATTTGTTTCAAAAAGATGATCGCCAACATCGTAAGAGTCGCTCGAATGAATTAATCTAATGCATACTGAGACAGTCACATTAAAGAAACCAGACAGGTGGGCGAATAATCCAGGCAGACGAGAACAAATTCGCCAATCTAGGAAGAAAATACCGAAAGAGAAATAAGGCAATGGAAAACTACAAGGAATATTTCAGGTGGAGGGAAAAAACAAACCGGCTAAACAAGAAGACATTGTGCCAATGTTAACAATCTAACAATGTCAGGTAGGCGATAGACTGCCGGCGAAACTGAAAGGAGAAATCTCCTTCTACTCTTCTCCTTCTCCTGTTGGCTTCAACAGACTGAGCTCACAGAGTAAAGTGTTGCAGATCTACACTACAAGGACTTAAAAATTGTGAGATTATCATTGTACTCTATGAAGTATTTCAACTTAGTTTGTATCTTTAGATTGCACTAGTCTTTGTGCTAGTAGTCACATCATCATAAATATCGAATCTTCTTTGGTAGTGCACTGGAATTCCAGTCCGAGCAGAAGGTAACAAAGAGTGGTCAAGTTCAGCGTACAAAATTTCTTCTCCTTCGCCTGCTTCAGCAATGATTTTTCCCGATGGGTCTACCACCAAAGAGTGGCCGTATGCTTGATAGCCACTTCCCCCAACATCTCTGGCCGGGCTGCACAAGACAGTGAAAACTTCATTGTCCACTGCACGAGCTCTTGCCAAAAGGTGCCAGTGAAGTGGACCAGTAGTAGTGTTAAAGGCTCCAGGATAGAACATAGCAAAAGCATTGTGGGGCGCTCTCAGAGCAGCCATTGCAAGTTCAGGAAACCGGATATCGTAGCAGATTCCTAAACCAACTGTTCCGAAATCTCCCAAGCCGAAAACAGTGGCTTTATCTCCAGCACTAAGTGTGATCAGCTCCTTGAAAGTGATTCCATTGGGAATATCGATGTCAAACAAGTGTGCTTTGCGGTGCTTGGCAATTATATCGCCACTGGGGCTGAAGGTCAAAGAAGTGTTGTAGATCTTATCTTGGTCACTTTCGGGAAAGGAGCCTCCGACAATGAATACGCCATGCCGTTTAGCCAATTGTGCCAAAAACTTGGTGGTTTCTCCTCCTGGAATAACCTCGGCATATTCCCTAAATTTGTCAACAGCATAGGGCGAATTGAAACACTCTGGCAACATCACCACATCTGGCTTTCCGATTGTAGACTCGCTAACCGCTTTGTCTATATAAGATTGGACTTTGCTTAGGTTTGCAGCCTTGTCTGCTCCAGCTTTCAACTGGATTAAGGCAACTTTTAAGTTTTTGGTGAGTGGAGATTTGAGAACGGAAGACATTGTAGTGGAACAAAGTGATATCCTAGCTGGTGCCAAATTATGCGCACTGTGGATCCCCGCAATAAGATTGTAACATACAAATGCGAGTGTGGAGTCACATTTTTTACCACGTATTTTCTTCTTACACAGCGCCATCTGATCTAGTTTATCCCATGGAGTCGTAATATTTCGGTATACAACTAAGCCCTACGTGAAAGAAATCCGGAACTTTGATTCATTTATTATTAGCCCATACAGGCAAAATAGGTTACGGTATCTTTGGGAGGGATTAATATAACCGAATCGTCTATTGCGTAAGTGTGTTGGGGAACTTTGTCGTTTCTTTAAGCCATTTCAAATGAGGAAGGTACACCTCAGCACATCTCTTGTTGTTGGCCTCCAAGTCATCCCCAATATACTTTAAGAAATTGCCTGCCCATTCATCTTCTTCGCGAATATCGGAATCAACAGCCTTTCCATCCTTATAATAGCCTTTGCACACACCTTGCACAAAGTTTTGCTGAAATTTCAAATCCACGTCATATCCAACATTGTTGTAGATACCTTCGTACATGCGAATATGAGTCTTTTCATCTTTATAGATGAGATCGTGGTTGTTGTAGAACCAATCGGTATAATACTTTGGATAGGAGCAATGCAAGAAGGTAATATTATTTGGTGCCTCAGGGTCCAATACGAGCGGATCATAGTGGCCCAAAGCTTTCGAAACAAACAGTTTCTCGTCCTGGCTATGGTACCCAACCCAAGCAAAACTCTTGGCTGTCTGGTGATATGGTTCGCCCATAACAGATGCTGCTGCAATAAACGTCTCTTTATCTCCTTCGCCTGCCCCACCCTGGGTCATTAAAGGATAGTAATAATCAGGACCAAGTAAGTTGTAGTATAAAGCCAAGAGCATTGTGCGGAGGTGACTTGTTTTGTTTACAACAAGAATTCCGGCTTCAGACGAAGGGTCTGGCAAAGCATTTTGGAAATCGTGGAAGTTTGAGTCCTTGAAAGTGAATTCCAGCAATGGTTTCAAACTCTCGCCCTTCAGCTCGGCTTGCTTCTTGTCATACTTGGAGTATCTCACTTTGGTTTCTAGAACAGGATACTCTGCAATTTCATGGAACTTAGGGTTAGTGGTTCTCGCCCAGTGGTCAGGCCATAATAAAAGTCCTTTCTCTTTGTATAAATCGGAGTCAAAAATGTACTCGGGGTTTCTGGTTGGGAAAAGATCGGAATCCAAATACATGACATTTTCAAACTTCGAAGTTAAGATTGCAAGCATTTTGAATTGGTAGCCACCAATCTTGAAATTTTCCGCTACGGATTTCATCACATCCACATCCAAGACATTACACACAGCATCGTATTTTGGCAATACCTCCTTGCAGAACTTCTCTTCGTATTCTTTCTCAGATGGGATGAAAACTTCGATTGGAAGTGTACCGCCGATAGATCTAATTTGTTTCACGACAAGGTAAGAAAGCCAGGAGTACTTTCCTCCTCCAATTATAACATAACCCGCGCTTTTCTTGTAAGTCTTCCACTCGGGAGACTCTGGTCTGACGATACCAAAAGTAGCGATCTTCAGTTCTTTGATCAAATTATCCATGTGCTTGTGCACGTAACCATGGTGGGACTGTTTGAGCAATTGCAATGTCTCGTCAGAGATGTCGAGAACATTTTCAAGATACTCCTTGGAAAACAAAAACTCGTCCTGGTTGCTTCCTCTGGACTCCACTTTGTCAGCCTTGTACCTATCCTTGAGCGATGGAGCTTTCACGACATACTCGTCAAGGCCTTGGAAGAATAGTTCATACGACAACGGAGGAAGTGGTGTCCAGCTCAACAGAGTGCGTTTATCATGACTCAAGTACAAGAAGATGGCCATCAAGATGGCGGTGGCCAAGCCAAGCTTGAAATGGTAAGCCCGTCTGGAAAAGACTCGAACCGCCGAGCGAAAATTGGAAAAGAGCATAGTCCCAAGAATAGTTTCCAAGATTTTATCGTTGAGTATATTGAGCAGGACAATCGCGCAAAGTAGATTGACGCGACGCTTACACGCACTTTGAAAGGAAGTGCATCTCTATCGAGTAGATGCAAGCAAAAAATAAATTGAGAGGAACCCAAGGGAAAATAAGCTAAATCCCCGACTTAGGGTACAATGTGAGGAAAAGAGATATCAACGAGATGGAATCATAGAGTGATCCAGTACCTTTCAACACCCTTCCTTGTTGCATGCCTAAACCTTACTATCTGATTGCCTGCAGGGTGCGAAGTCAAGTACATGCAAAATCCCTACGAAACAGAAACCATTTTCTCTGAATAGAATATGATTGTCATATGTAATTTCTAGGTTAATCGTCCTTTGATCTCTCAGTGGTTTCGTTCAACGAGTCGTACGCGTTTTGCATTCCTTGCAATTGCTTTTTCAAAGTCTCAATGTCCTTCTCGCGTTGCGCAAGTAACTTTTGATAATGATCCACAGACTCTTTTTCGTTCTGTGATGCGCCACCCCCACTTTTCAGAGCGCCTTCCTTCACCAAGTTTCTGTAGTCAGTCTCTTTCTTAACCAACTTCACCAAAATAGAATAGACTGTGTTGATGGCCAACGACAAGTACAACACAGCACCAGTGATGTAAAGATTGCGCTGTGCGTAGAATTTAGAAGCAAGCTGGTCATACAGTAACTGGCCCCCTGTCATTTGTTGCTGCATCTGGGCAAAATATGGACTCTGCACATTCGAGTACCTTTGCAATTTCTTGACACAGTCAAAGAATTGGAGCCCTAACAATAAGAGAGCAAAGTTGAACCCCACCTTGACATTGGTATTTTTCCGAATAACCGAGTATGTGTCGAGAATGCTCGTCCGAACCACATACGGCAAGGGCAAAAGAAGAAGAATTAAGAACGACATTTGGGCAACAAGTGCACCAAACACAAGCGACATTTGAATACTCATGGCTAAGTAGATGAAGTAGAGATGTACAATGGAAGCTCGCCACTTGACTCGTGTGGAATAGTCGTATGCACACCTCGGTATGCTTTCGCATTGCGCATAAGCTTCCTCTACCGTTAAGTGCAAATCGTCGAACGCAACTGTGCGATATTTTGAGTCCACAAGAATCCTTGTAATTAATTTCAATAGTAATGGTTTTCATTACTGATAACTATTTATTTTTTTCCGAACATGCCATTAATTACATCTATAATCCTTAATTTCTAAAACATTTTACATCGATACTTTACATATTAATCACAATCCCGTTACCTTCTTGGCATAGAAGTACGAGATCACACTGAACAGTGTTATTCCAATAACGATGCCCCAGAACCAAACCAAGCCCTCGTGATCTTGGCCAGGTACGATACAGTTCATTCCCCATAGGCCAGTAACCACATTAATAGGCAAAACAATTGTACCCAAGATGGTGATTTTACCCAACACGTCGTTGGTGTCATTGTTCACTTTGGTCATGTCGATATTTAACTGTGCCAAGTAGTTCGAGTGGCTTCGTGCAAGAAGTTTTTCATAATGGTTGAGCGATTGCACCATTGTCACAACATGGTCTTGAATGTCTCCCAAATACATCACAATCTCTTGTCTCAGAGCCAACCGTGTGTTGTTCACGTGTGTATCATTGAGTGACGCAAGGGATTCCGTCTCGTTAAAACGTTTGCTGAATCCACGAATCACATCAGCCTTCGTGCCCAAAAGACGCATGACCGACATGACACGTTTTCTGCACTCACCAATTCTTCTCAACATATCACCCTTGCGTTTCCAGGCAACGATTTTCGACAGTGTCGAAGTCGAAGTCAGGCTCAAAGATGTCCGTGCGCTACTGCGCGAGTTGACAGACATGAACTCCCCGCGTGGTTCTTTATTATACCTCAGGCGGAAAGAGTTGGGCGTTACTGCCTCCACTGTGGATTTTGATCTCTCACGGCGGTAAAAGACGTCTGTCCCAATGCTCCTTTGGTATCCCTGATTCGTGGGTGGCAAAGAAGAGCTCATTTCATTGTCGCTTTCCTCGTCACTGTCTTCAGAATCGCCAGAGTGCATTCTCATAATCTCGTCTTCAATGAGATACACCTCAGATTCGATGCTGTCAATCATGGGAGCAAAAGAGTCAGTGATGTCATCAATAAGTGCATAACATATCCAATCGGTCGACACTGTCAAATGATCTTTGAGCATACGTGCACGACGACGCACATTTATAGGATGTGGAGTAGGACTAAAGTGGAACGTAAGCACTCCATGCTTGAAAATAATCATGTACATGTTCAAAGGGCACAATTCTCCACTTCTAACATTCTTGTGAATGGTGATAGAAGACAGAGTCACCGATCTCTTCGATGAACTGTATGTCGAACCCCGGCGCAGAAATAACATCTTTGAAATACGCTTGAAAAACCCCTTGTTGTTAGACGTCTCTTCGGGCCAAGAGTACTCCTGGAGCTTGATATGTTTCTTTTCATTTTCCTTTGCCCGTTGTTTGCGCCGTTCGTAGACGATGTCAAAGGATGTAAAACAAATGAAGTAGTACTGCCTAAACAACTCCACTTTTTCTCTTGTCTCGCCCAAGAAAATATCTTCCGTAGTTAACGGGTGGAGACCAAAAGTTTTCGAGATCACCTTCATCTCTTCTTCCAGCGGATTCTCGATGTCAAGCCAAAATGGATAAGTAGGATGGCTGTGATGGTGAGTAGCAGGCGAAGCCCCGTTTGCAGTCGATCCAGGAAGTGGCGAGCTAAATCTCTGATTAGCGGAGCGAATCCCTGCTGCTGCGCCAGTAGAAGCATTGCCAGTAGTATTAGTGGAAGCACTAGCAGAAGCAGCAGAAGCATTATTAGTAGACAAGTTAGTTTGTGGAACTGGCAAAGTTTCTGCTAACTTTGCATGTTCAACTCCAGGAGAAGGCTCGTGAGTCAGGCTCGTTTCTTTAGAATAGTATGACGGCGAGAACAATTGATGTAAGCTTTCCAGCAAGTTTGCTTCCGTTTTCGAAACATTCTCTTTATCACGAGAGACCAATCCAGAGAGTGTTGGAGAGTGGATTGTCCCTTCCAAATCCTCTCTGAAGTATGTGAAACGGAACGTAGTATCCAGGGCACGGTTTTGCGAGTTATTTAAAATTGGCAGATAATGTTCCCTGTTTTTCTCCCATGGCTGGATCGGCTTTGGTCTGACACGGAGAGACAGACTTCCCAGCTGAAGCAGATGGGTCTCATTGACCTGGACCAGGCCCAAAAGAGGAACCAGTTCATTGGTGGGCAGCACATCTTTCAAGTCACCCACTGCGGCAGAAACACGCCGTGCTACTGGGTAATGGAAATTAACTTCGGGTGATTCCTCCCTTTCCTGTTGTGCCTCGTGTAACTCTTCTAACTCCTCTTGGATGTATTCTTCCAACACAGACAAATCAGGCCACTTATGTGAAGTTTCTCCGTTGTCTGCATCAAGTAGCCCTTCGTAATAATCTGGAAAACAGACATCATCCAAAGATGTCAGATCGCTCAGATGTTCCAGAGACGGATTCAGCTCCCCGAACTCAAGCAGCTGTCCCGATCTGTGACTGTACGTGCTATAATTGTCTCCGTCATCATGATCGTGATAGGATTTGCGGTTGTTTTGTTGCTCTTTTGCGTATTGATCCATATCAAGAGCGACAGCGCCAAACTGTGAAGTCTGAGCCTGAGGCTGGCTTTGCTCAAGCCACGTCTGAAGGTTTCTATTTGTGAGTGGCGTGTTTGAGCCTTTGGACCTGCTTTGCGCTGCTTCGGAGCGGAATCGATGTCTTGAAGCTGATGATCCGAAATTCGCCAAATTCTCGCCCCGATGATCCACAAAAGATCCTCTTTGCGGTTGTCTGGATGATGCGGCAAGATAATCTTCCTCATACGCATCTGATTCACCGTCGTGTTGAAGTCGACCTTCTCGAGCAGCCTTAGTCAGCTTTCTATTCCTTCTCCTATTCTTGGATGATCTATTCTTCGGCATGTTTCTTCAGTATAATATAGACTCGGGGTATTTCAGGAAAATCACTGGAGTCAGTCTGTAGAGAGAAAAATGTTATTTACTTGGGACAGACCATCGAATAGCTCGGATAAACTTTCGCTACTTTAGCCGAAGCATATGTTGCTATGATGTGCGTCACGTGTAGATTTATGATTGCGTCGATAACATCGCAGATTATATCGCCCAGAATGATAATAATATTGATCGGCTCAAAGAGCATGAGAGCTTTGGCTGATGCCTAATTGAGAACAGAGAACAATTAAGTTAAAAAAAAATAAAAAAATTCATTTTGTGCTTTACTTGCCTATGAAGACAATGGTCACGCGAAATGCGGCGCTCTACGACTTATCAGTAGGACTGCCATTGGCACGTAATTCAGTCATAACTGTCTTTTCTGATTTCCTATTCGCGTATCTCTATCTGCTTTTTGAATGATTGTATTTTTATACTCCATTAATCATGGAATCTATGGCTTGGATCACTCTTGTTCTTCCTTTACGGCCTTTGGTTCTTCAACATCTTTCTCAGCTTCCTCTTTTTCGTCATTCTTTTCAACTTTCTGTTTCTTGTTCTGTAGACTGTCTAAAGCTTCATTTATTTCATTTTGCAGTTCAAGCAATTTCTTCCAGGTTTCAACAGTCAAGGCTATGCCCTTTTTGCCAGGTTTGCGCTCTTTCGTGCTAGCATCAGTATAATATTCGCGGATATCAACCAAGGGGATTCCCTTGAACAGCGAAACAGTGACCGCCTTTTTACTGTCCAACTCCAAGCTCAATTGGGTAGTTTTATCGTCCCCAGACTCCTTTTGTGTATAAGTTCTTTTGTAGGCCATAATATCTAGAGCGGTTCATACATCGCGAGTTGATTCAGGTGAACTAATTATATGTGCACGTGACACAATATTGTAACTCTATCTATACATTAGTTAGTATCTACCACTTGACCAGGTTTCATTGTAGTGGTCAGGTCCAAGTTCAGATATCACTCGTTTGAACAATGTTTCTTCTTCTTCTGAAACCCCTTTTTCAACCAGCCGTAATGCCTCGAGTGCAACATTTAGTTCCTCAACGTTAGATACACCTAACACTACCGACGTCTTCTTATTCCATTCCAACTGTTTTTCTGTCTGTTCTTTGGTTAGGAATAGCCACCTGTGCAAAGCAAAGCGAGTGGCCAAGTCTGCTAGCTCGATATCCTGTTCTAACAAACGTTGAGCGATTTCGTTCACACGGTCTTTCAACGCTTGTGGCGCTGGATGGAATGAATGGGTGACTCCTGAACGCAATAACGACATGCTCAAAATGGACCCGTTCATGAGCTTTTTGATTCCACCATCAACAATAAACCGCTCATATAAGTCGAAAAGAATTGTGTTCTGGATACATCCATTGGAGTAGGACAAGACAGCATCCAACGGGCCGATATCTTTTAAGCCTTTGCATTGGATGCAAACATCTAATAATAATTTTACGGGGTAGCCTGATACACCAATGTTATTTATCACACCTTCTTTCTTTAACTGAGCCAACTCACGGAGAGCATCATAAATTTGGTCTTCAGGAACAAACTCAATATCATGCATGTACACCAAGTCCAAGTATGTTGTTTTGAGTCTCTCCAATGAGCGGAGCACGGATTGGCGAACCCAAGTTCTCGAATAATCAAATTCGTCCAATTGAATTCGCCCAGCCTTTGTGCAAATAAAGTAGGACTCACGGGGCCACTCCTCTTTGATATTTCCCAAAGCAGAGCCAATCAATTCTTCAGATTTACCATAGTAAGGCGACGTATCTAACGCATTCATTCCTTGTTCAAACGCAGATACGATAATATCTGTGATTGGAAGCTTTGTAGGATCTTCCGAATACTGAGTATTGAAAACAGCGCCACCGACAATTAATGGGGGAAAGTCAGCAATCTCGCCTGCTTTTTTGGAGTCACTCATTGGTTGGAGTAGTTGTTCTAATTGATCGATGAAAGATAGCGCGAAGATCGTTTAGAGGCAAAGTAAGTATGTAATAATTTCTAATCTGTGAAAGGTATCAGTGTTAGAAAACGAAATTTTAGCGACAAAGTCGATAGGATAGGCAGGTGAACCTTGATAGCTTGAATTCTTTATTGGAAATAGGGTGAATTATTAAATGTCCTATAAGTGTGGCTCACTCTCATTACTAATGAAGTGCCACTAAGTGTCAATTGAGAATACTCAAATTTCGAGGCTATTATGATCTATCCATAGAGAATCTTCTTCGAGAGTAGATTGTCTTGCATAACTGATTGCAACCTCAAATAACAGTATCAGCGGACTGGTCATCATTAGGAAATGATAATCGAGAGGACAAGAGATAGTGATTTTCTCGTTGTGAATACTGAATATTCGATGTAATGCCTTTACATGAACCACCTACTTATACACTTATTATTGTATGCACATAAAATACACCCGGCCCGCTATCCCAGCAGGCACCCATTGTCCTGAGTCGCTATAAGTGAATGCCACTTGTAGCTTTATCCTCTAGAATACATCTGGTCCTTCGACCACATAATTGAACGGCACTAGCCCTATAGTTCCTTTCAGAGGCCCACAATTATCTGCTAGTTCGCAAACATACCAATTGTCTTCCTGTTTGTGAATCACATACATGTTCCAGCCCTTGCGGAAAGAAAGCTCGCCATCCTCGCGGGCAGTATAGGCGTATCTGGCCTTGGCCTTAGCCACGTAGCGGCTTTTAGTGACCGGGGTGACTGGATCGACCAAGGCACGAAGATTGGTGTAGGACTTTGTAGGAGACATCAGAAGAGAACGACGCAGCGACCGTGAATGCTTGTCAGAAGGAGTAAAACTAGTGCGGGCTCCACTCCTCTCGGGCGACCCAAGCTCCTTGTTTGCCGAACCAGGCGCCTTCCTTTCATAGGACCGTCTTTCCGGAGACCACCGCTTGGGGGAATCTGCTTGACGAGCTTTCCCTTCAGGTGACCATCGTTCCTCTGCGGGCTCGTGAACAGGACTTCGAAAAGAGATGGAGCCGAAACGTGTAGCCACTTCTTGCGAGTCGTCGACATAATCCAGTGCGGGACGCACATCTTCGAGCGCGGGCGCGCCGCGCTGCGAGCGCCTAAACTGGGTCACGTCGCCGTTTCCACCGGCATCAAGGTCCTCGAGCGCTTTGGCTATGAAATCGATGGAGAAATCTTTGGCAATAGGAACGCTTGGCCTTTCAGGCTCGCGCGCAGGCGCCACGATTGTGGTCATATCGCGCAGTCGGCGGTTGATGTTTTCCTGTGCGTTTGCGCCTGTCCGCTTGCGCGGCGACGCCCAACTGCGCACCGTATAGTTTGTAGGGCTCAGGTAATCGGACGCTGCCTTTTCAAACATGTCGTCAGAAAAGGTGCTGTGAGAAGGCAGTTTGCGTGGGCGAAGTGGTGAGTTTTCGTGGCTTTGGTCTTGCACATGGTGTAAGTCTGGCACTGGTGCTGTGAATGGCTGTGCAGCAGAAATTGGGCCATGTCCAGAATCAACGTCTGGGCCGGGAATTGTAGTGGCCAAGTGATCAGTGGGCGCGGACAGATAGCCTGGCCGAATGTGCGTTGAATCTGCATCGTGCCCCAGGGCGTAGGGCGGAGTCTGCGCGCGCACTGGGGGAAGCGCCTTGTGGGTCTGGTCCATCAGCTGCGTCTGCACGGAGAACGTACGCAGTAGCACGACCGAATAATCGGGGTCAGCAAACTGTGCACGTTCCATTTCCATGGGTGGTTCGGCACGGCCCTCGAGAAATTCCACAAAGTCGGGGGCCCGCCAGATTTCACTGCCTGTGCCGTAGGCGCGGGCGAAATCAGCAATATCGCGTGGGGCAGCCACGCCTGCAATAGCCAGGCGCGCAGAGTCGGCCGCCAGGTCCCAAGCGACACAAAGCGAAGCCACATGGTTGCAAAAGCTGAAACTGTTGAGCTTGCACATCTGGAGACGCTCGACTTCCAACTGGTAGAGCGCCAGAAGCGCTGCTGCCCAGTCACGTACCCAAGTTTCGTGCGACGCTGCGTGCTGGCGAACGGCCTTCTGATAGTGCGCCCGGAGCGGGTCGAGAGACCCTTGCGCGCGCCGAAGCCGCGCCTGGTTTTTCTCAAGCTCTCGGCCCCATGTAGTTTGGCACACCAACGTCAATGACTTGACTTGAGAGCATTCGGCCCGGTACTTTTCTTTCGCCTGTTCAAGTTGTGCAAAGTGCTCATTTTTCCGCTCAAGCACTTTCTTCATGTGGCTTTCAAGCTTCCCGGCACTGCGCCGGTACATGTTTTCAAACGCACTAAGCTTCTCGTAGTTATGGTGAGCCACATTCGAGACAAAAGTGCGACTATCTGCTGCCTGTTGTTCGCTTTCATTCTGAAGTTTATCAAGAGCTATTTTCAAAGAGCCTGTTTCTGCCGCTCCAAGGGTGTTTGCAGACACTAGCCGTTCGAGCCGTTTGGCATAATCCTTTTCTATGGAGATGCGCTCTTTGTAGAAGTGAAGGAGCGCCAGAAGGGTGGCTTCAGCACTGCGAATCCGCTGCTGAATCACGCGAAACCCACCATCGCCAGCGCCCCAGAATTGGTTAACAAACGCCGTTTCGTTCATGGGGGATGTAGTATGTACGTGAGAATCATTGTAGTTTTTGGTTTGGGTGGCATATTTACCATTTGCCCAATGCGGAAAGCTAATGATGGAACATGCAGGGAAAACGCTTCAGACGGCTATACGCAGGCATCAGAGTTTCGGTATGGCATTGCTCTATTCACCAATCTGACTAATAATAGTCTGTAATTATCTGGTATTGCAAACTTTTGTTTCTTGACAGTCACAATGTCTTACCTTCATAGTGATTGAGCAATCTGAACTTTATGATTTATTCAGCTGAAAATACTTCTTTTCGCATGAGTTTTCAAATGCTCGCTTTACTCATGCGCTTCTAGTCCTTCTTTGTTCTGCAGCCCTATAAAAAAATAGTGATGTATTCTCATCTACTGTCTAAATAATTACTTGTGGTTTATGGTTCGAAAACTTTCATTCGCTCAACTCCTTGTGTTATCGTATTTTTTCGTCCTCTCTATCCTTGTCTGTAACAGTAACAAATGTCTAGCATTTTAATTTAGGAATTATCTGCTCCACAATATTCAAGAAACGGCAATGTGCCCTCGGGGTTCTTAATGCAAAGTGTACTATAGGCTTTCTTCGGGTCGCGAAAGCAAATTCGAAAGATTAAGCCTAATAACATTAAAACAGATATAAAAATAATGTAAAAAATTCTTCGGTTGATAGACTACTTTAAGTACTAGTACGATTACAATTTAACTTTACGCTGTGCCGCTGAAAATAAGATTTGAAAGAAATTGAAGAGTCACTTGAATAAATCTTTTTAATTCACGTATGCGTTCAAGCAGTCAAGATTGCTTGGAACATCTGTATCAGGGGACCAACACCACAAAATATACTCCAGCACTTGTTTGTACTTGCCTACCTGTCTGTGGATTCCTATTCCATTCTGAAGAACGTTCATGCTGCTTTTACTTTCATTTGGAATAAAAATTGTACCTTCATGTCATAAGAATCTCTTGCCAAATGGTACAGCTACTGTTGATAAAATTTTGCATGTAAGCTTGCTGAAAGCTTGCGATTCTGAAAGCTTGCCGGTTGTCGTCCAAAGGTAATCATTGTATTACAATAAACATCAAGTACAAACCAAAATGGTTATGAGCTTTCGTGGAAGAGCTTGGGATTTAATTCTGTACTGAAATCTCTTACTTTCCTATCATTGTTCTCCACTTCTGTGATAAATGCTAGTTTTAGTGACACATAATTCGCGATATGCATCGTATATTTCTTATGACTGTATGCATTTTCGGCCGCCGGGCCGAAGCCACAGCAATGACCAATCTCGAAAAATCCTGTTTTAATGATACACCATTTCTTATAGAATAGTCATAGCACAAATACACTGTAATCGAATTGCAAAATCTTCTTCTGATTTTTCTTTTTACCGGGATTCTGACGTCACTCCGAAAAGATTACCCCATGTCATGTGCGCGCATATAGATGTCTAGATAATGTTCGCATCGGTTTTTCTTTTTAAACCACATGTATAAAGAAACCCGAGTCTATAAGACACTTAAGAGTGTCTTTGACTTTCTTCTAGCCCAGTGGTTCTTTGTCCTCTTGGGTGTTTTCGTTGCATTAGCTCATCTGTATCCCAGTTTTGCCAAACAAGGCGGAACCATTCGGGCAGAATATTCCATTGGCTATGGAGCTGTGGCAGTCATTTTTTTGGTATCCGGATTGTCTATGGCAACAAAGGATTTGTTTAAAAACATCTATCATTGGCGTGCCCATTTTACTGTCTTGTCGTGCTCTTTCTTGATCACTTCAGCTATCATATATGGAATCGTGTCGGGCATCAAAGCGGCCCACGATGGGCAAATTGATTCTTGGCTTCTTGTGGGTATGATTGTGACACATGCGTGTCCAACAACTGTCTCTTCAAATGTTGTGATGACTCGAGCTGCGAAAGGTAATGTTGTGTTGACTATTTGCGAAGTTTTCATTGGTAACTTACTAGGTGCGTTTGTCACTCCTGCTTTGGTTCAAATGTACTTGACTGGAGGGTGGGATTTTGGAAACCCCGTACACCAGGCAGATCACACATCAGTACGAGACGTTTATCGACATGTGATGAAGCAGATTGGCCTCTCTGTGTTTGTGCCACTTTTTGTAGGTCAAGTGGTGCAAAATATTTTCCCTAAGCAAGTGAAATGGTGTCTCACCACATTTCGCCTCAACAAAGTCGGCTCTTTCATGTTGCTTTTGATCATGTTCCAATCCTTTTCGACAGCTTTCGCCCAGCATGCATTTACTTCTGTGAGCCATGCATCTATTATATTCTTGGTGTTTTTCAACATCGGCATATACTTGTTTTTCACAGTCATGGTATTCTTATACTCTCGACCAGTGTTTCTTCTTCGGATTTTCCCTACGAAGCCTACAGCAGAGTCTAGCCGTGCTTACAGGTGGTGTTACCGCATTTTCCGGCCCTTCTACTATAACCGTCAAGACACGGTGAGTATCATGTTGTGCGGGCCTGCCAAAACAGCTGCACTTGGTGTATCTCTTGTCTCTTCTCAGTACGGCCTGCACAACCCGAAATTAGGTGTCTTACTTGTGCCGTTGGTGTTGTACCAAGCAGAGCAAGTTCTTACTGCTCAGGTCCTTGTCAGATTTATGAAAAAATGGGTTGAAGCCGAAGAGCAAGAAACCAAAGATATTGAAACTGGTGAACCTGAAGAAGAGGCCAAAAGTGAACTGTCAAGTCCACGCAGTGACTCTGCAAGTCATAATGGGCCTGCTTAATGAGCGGTTGGAATAGCGGTGAAGATAAACATTAATGCTCATGACCCTAATCTTTCGCTCACCAGAAACAATACTAACATCGCATGGCAACTTTCATTGATCCAAAAAGAATGTGATTGCAGTTGATCCTGCTGGGCCCCTCTCACTACAGCTAGATTCATGAGTTGGCATGGGCATATCATGTCATAGACTCAGACTTTCTGTTTTGATCTTTGTGGCGTATATGTTTTCACCACGTTCTTCCACGGAATCGGGCTCCTCTTCGACACGGAATAATTATTGTGGAGAAGACTGTATCGCGGAAACGGCTCTTAAATGAAATTGGGGGAAATGGCTATTCAAATGCGAGACACCCCTCACATCATCCAAATGTGCAAAATCCTATGGCCCCGAGAATTGTATGCTACAGGATGTCTCACAATAATTTTTTTTGTCGGGAGCGGATTTTCTTTAGCCTATTCCATTCATGGTGGCAACATCTTTTGCTGCTCCACCATACAGTTCCAGACCTTTACCTATTTATGTGCTTTTAGTGTGTATCTCCGCAGTGCACCTTGACAGAAATGTACTCCATATTGCACCAACATGCAGCAAGCTTATCAATGCATATACCCCATGCACCAAAAGATATTACTCTCAAATCACAAACAGAGCTAGGCGTTTTTATTTTAGGATTTTCCCTTAACATTACCGCTATGTATTCCTCTTATCATTTTCCCGTTCTCTGTTTATGCCCTTTGACCAGAAAGCCGACGATCGCAGTATTATTTTCTTGCACACAATATAACACCCCATGCGCGCCACACCCCACAAAGAACCAGCAAAGGTGATAAGACTTGTCTACTTGTACATTCAAGGCAAGCGCAAAAGACTCCAGAAGAAAGTGGTCATAAAATGTACTAAATCATAGGAATAGTGTGTTTCAAAAAAAAAATGTGGCAACATACCATACGCAGCTTCGTAGCCGTCTATTTTCAAATCACTGCATCTCTCATCTGTAAGCGTTATCAGGCCAAGCATCCTGCACACGTGCCACGCACTAACATTCGACCCAAGTGGTGTGTTCTTATTTTCGCCTAGTCACTTGTTTTCTTTGTCTTCAACGGTGCGTTTCTAGCGTCGCAGCCGAACAGCTTTTCCCGTCACAAATACATTAAGGACCCTTACCTTTCAGGCTGGCTGCTACTCTGAAGATTTCACTCCTCCAATTTTCTTTATCTATATCAGAACTTGACCCAAGCACCTCGTAATTTGCTCGGCGGCTATGTCCTATCCGTCTCCTATGGGCTTGGAACCACCTACCATTGATGTCCATCAAAAACCTCAGGATTGGATTCCTCCTCCGGCGTCTTTTGCCACTGTCAATACCGAGGGTATTGACTTGAACGATGAAATCTTCTTCAACCACACTCACATGTCTTACCCTCCAGTTCTTGACCCATATGCGCCTCCTCCAGATATCGAACCGCTGCTGCTGTCTCTGCTGCTTGCCACAGCTCCATTTGTGCCTTTGCAGCTGGCCATAACCACTCCGGATCTTCTGTTGGCGTCTCCAAATAAATACGCACCTACACCTTTTTCCCACTATAGCCACCGCCGTCGCTTCTCGCTGGCCGTGGAGCAGCTTAACCGCATGTCTTTGCGCACTTCAGAACTGCCTCTGCCCGAAATGTACACTGCTTTACGACCACAACACCCAGAAGAGCGTACAATCAATCCTCGTCAACTTTTGGGTAATGCAGGCCCTGACAGTCTGCCAGCGGCGGTAGCAGCGCGCTATATCCTTCCTCTGCTGGTGCTGTCACCTTCTCTACTGACTTTTTTCGCCCGGGGCGATGTTCCTGACCTCCCTGAACTGCCGGATATGGAGAAGTTAGCTGCGGACTTTTCTGAGCCGCAGGTGGCAACTGGAGACATACGCGATGCAGCGGGGAGCACGTACGTGATGAATGACGAATGCGTAAGCGCTATCACTTATTGGCTCAACAATACTGATGGCGTTCTCCTGGATGTTGGAGCAACAGTTGCAACCAACCCAACAGGAATCGTCAAACCGGCAGCGAAGAGGCGTAATAGCATCCCTGTCGCTACCCGTGGTGATATAAGCCCGTCTCGTGGGATTTCCAAGAGAAAGCGGCGGAAGTCTGTTACCACCGCCATTCCTGAAGATACTGTTGCTATGGAACAGGCAGTGTACATGCTGCCCAAGAAACACTTCATGACCCCTTCTATCGCCGCGCCATCACTGGGGCTAGCACCCGAATCGCCGCAGGTGACCGTACACAGCTTCGAGCATGAGATTAAGAGTGATGCCAGCATACCGCGGCACGGGTCGGATGGTGATGATGAGCCAAAGCCGTTCCCATGTCCTGAATGTGACAAACAATTCAAGCGCCTGGAGCACTTGAAACGGCACATCCGATCCGTGCACTCCAACATCCGTCCATTCCATTGCAAGTACTGTGACAAGAAGTTCTCGCGTTCAGACAACTTGGCGCAGCACTCTAAGACACACTTCAAAGTCAACGCTAATGGCACCACGTCAATTATCTACGGAAACCCCAATCCACAAAATAGGGGTGGACGTAAGAAGAGCGTGGACTCTATGGGCATGCACGGTTAGGTTAAAGGATACTTCGGCGTTTTTACTATTTTTTTCTTGTGTTTCGTTTACTATTAATACTGGTTCGCTCTTATGAGTATGTAGACTGTGCTTGGCAACTGGAGTCCGATAAAACTTTTCAGTGAAGAGCTGTCTGCACTGTTGTTTCTGTTACTTGGTGTGCTGCTTCATCAAATAAGCGGAATTATCGTGTCCTGACAACATAGCGGATTACATATCGATCGTTAGGCGTTCTTCCGCCTAATTTAAATATACCCTTTTATTCTATCCATACATTATTAACGCTATTCTGCCAGTGATCCTTTACACTGGTCATACATGAGGTAACCACAAATGGTTAAGATTGGAGTTCTCCAACAGACACAACTTTTCCTTGCAAACAGTCTGTCATTCACGGTCCCGAGTCACGTATCCCTCAATTCCAGTCTCAGAGATGTCCGCGAAGCCGGCGGGCCAACTGAATGTCCTTCTGCATTATAGTGACCCTTTTAGCATGGATGGCACATAGATTTGTGTCTTCCAACAAGTGAACCAAGAACGCCTCACACGCTTCTTGTAGCGCCAATACCGCGTTAGATTGCCATCGAATTCCGTAGTCGGCACCAATATAGGTTTCTGCAATTTCCTTTACAAGCCGTGCAAATGGCAACTTACGCAACAAGAGATCTGTGGACCGTTGGTATTGTCTAATTTCTCGCAATGCGTTCGTGCCAGGACGGTATCGTCTTTTTTTCACACCACTTTGAGTCGGAGGATCCCCCGGTAGATTTCTGTAGACGCCTGTTTCACGTGAGAGTGGATCGGCTCTTCTAGCAGACCCTTGGTTGTTGGTGGAAAGACGGGCCATGGGAGTAGTAAATGAAGGTTTTTTCTTTTCCTAAATGGGTTTATTGTGTGCGTCGACCCGCAGCCAGCAGTATATTTATTACAAATGTGCACACCGCAGAATCTACTGAGTTATTTTGACATTTTATCTTTTAGCCCATCTAAAAAATGTGTAGAAGGTCAGCGTAATCTGAAGAGGTTTGAGATCTTTGCTGGTTGTGGTGTTTGTGTTGGCAATGTGTGCCGAAAGCAATGTTACGAAAAAGGAAGAGATAACGGCGCAGATCATCGGCAATGCATTACCTCTTGAGAAAACGTAAACTAGTGGGAAAGTAGAAAGACCTTAATCGAACAGGCACGTTTCCCACTTACGGATCTATTACCTCTCGCTCCACTACTTCTAGCACCATTAACCCGTATGTCTGTTCCTAGTTATTTTCTATGTACAATGTGCCATTCCATCACTCGTCGTCGAAGTTGAGCTCCACCTTGCCATCCAAAATATCATTCAAGCCGTCTTGAATGTATGCGCTATCCTCGTCCATTGGCATGTCTGCCAACTCTTGTTCTTTCTGGGTCCCACCCATGAGCGACTTCATCTTCCATCCAAACTCACGGAAGGTCGAGACATCAAGAACCCAACACGTTCCAAAGCATATCATAGAAGAAACAGACGCACAAAGCATTGTTCCAGTTCCAACAGCAACAGCAGCATCCGATGTAAAGTTGTATCCAAGAGGAGGCAGGTGATTTCCTTGAAAAAGGGTGGGAATATACTGGCGGGTGATGGTGGACTTGTAGGCAAATCGAGAAGTGAAAATGGTCACAGCCGCTGCGGTCATGAAAAGAACAGCTTGCTTCTTCCGCCTTTCAAGATACTCTGGTGATGCATCGGCGATTTTGAAATTGTACTGGCGAAGAAGATCCATCGTATTTCTTTTTCGTTAAGTTATACACCAACACTTTTCAAGCTACACAGATAGTAAATGCGCTGGTGCGCACACGCAAAACATACAACATCAATCATGACGACGACAGAATTGGGTACATAATGATACATAGACGTAAAAAAACAAATCAGAATGGAAAAATGACTATGTCACATCGATGTGACGAGTAGAACGAAAATAGTAGGGAAAATAACAAAGACTTTAAGTAGCAAAAGCAGAGCTTTTCTTAAATGTCCTCCTTGAACACGCCTCCCTTTTTGGTGTGGTTAATCGAGAGATCGTCAAAGTTGGTCACGTCCGATGCCGCCTCTGGGATACTTTTCGACCCACTGTGTGTTTCATGTCCCTTCAATGCAGAGGAAACGGTCACGGGTTCTTTCTTGGAAGCAGATGTTGGCTTCTGGTTAGCTGCGGGAGTCTTAAAAGCCTTTTTGATGCTCGAGAATCGTGAGCGGATTCCTCTCTTGTTGTCGTCAACTGCTTGAGTAGTAGCAGGCTTGGCTGGCTCTGGAAGCTTTGGTTCTGCTTTTTTTGCCTTCAGTTCCACAGTAAAGAGGGAACCAACATCTCGGAAACGGTGCTCAGGAACTTCCGATTGCAAGTGATCCGGTAATTCCTTATTGATCTTCTTTTCATCCAGGACCTTGTCATCGATCTCTGCCAAAATGCTCTTTTTGTGAGCCTCCTTAGTGGCAAGATTCTCCTTCTTCTCGTTCTCCAAAGCAACTACCTTTTCATCCAACTCCTTGTGCTCCTGCTCGGCGTTCTTTTCCTTTTCTGCGGCAGATGCTTGCAACTCCTCCACTTCCTTGTCAGTAGCAGTACGCTTACCGGTAACATCCTCAAGATCTGTGGTGAACTTCTCGATTTGTTGATTGGTTTCTTCTAATTGCTTCTTCAACTCTGCAATCTTAGACTCGTACTCCTCGCCTAACTTTTCAGCGGATGCAACCTCATCGGCCAATGCGTTCTTTGAGTCGGTCAAATCCTTCAACTTGGCAGACTCAACAGCCAATTCATCAAGCGTGGGCTTCAACAACTCGTCTCTCTCTGCTTGCATTTTGTCCAACTCCTCCTTACGTCCGCTGATCAAACCTGTTTCCTCCTCGGTGATGCGGTCTTCGTTCTCTTTCTTTTCAGTCAACAAAGCCTCTTTTTCGGTGGCATGTTGTTCTTGCAATTCACGTAACTCGGTGCGCTTACCTTCAACCTCTTCGTTTCTTTCACCTTGGTACACAAGGAATTTTTCATCTTCACCTTGCTTCCTGTCCTCATGAGCATTGAGACGCTCCATCTTTTCTTGCTCTTGTTGTTGTCTCTCTCTCTCCTTGCGAGCCAATTCTTCTTGCTTCGCCTCCTGGTGTTTCTTTTGCAATTCTGCGTGTTTTCTAGCCTTCTCAGCATCGATCTCTCTTTGCGCAGCGGCCTTGCTCTCGAGGTCTGCCAAAACTGGAGTCACGATCAAGCCTGCCAACTTGTCCACCTCAGAAATAGGTAAATGTAAACCTCCACCCAAGTCGACCATGCCAGCCTTGTGTGCCTTCAACCTCTCTTCACTATTCTTTTGTGCAGCAGACAATGCCTTGGAATAAACAAGAGCTTGCTCTTTCAAATCGGCAGGAGCAGTCAGGCGGATAGTCTTTAATCTTTCGCTGGCGGCAGCACTGGCCGCCGCAATCAAAGTTGCATCGACTACTTCATGTGCCTGGAAAGTGGAAGTTCTCTTCTGTGCTGATACAGAGTCTGTGTATCCAGCACCATGTTTCATAGATAAAGAAGCGGTCGCCGATTGCGCAGCAAGTTTTTCTTCATTAGCATTCAAATATTCCGTGGGCTTACCCACAAGACCTGAACGGTAATCGTGTTCAGGGTTGAAACGAGAGTTCAACAGCTTGGTAGAGTTCTGGTCAGCGAGTCTCGAAACTTTGCCCATATCAAGTGCGGCTGACGCTGACTTCGACGCCAAACCGTGCTTGGATACAGACTTTTCAGGCGTAGTTCTCGATGTCATAGTAGATGTGGAATTGTGTTCCGCTTGTCTGTAAACGGAACCCTTATTGTATGTTGGGATTCCTAACTCCACGGCTGGGCCGGCTGCGCGTGGTTTTGCCTTGGCATTGGCGGCAGCTGCATCAGCGTACGGGTCCGTTGAGTCTCTGGACCAAGCCAGTATCTTGTTCTTCTTAGCAGCCAATGCTGCCGTTTGCGCCTCAGGCGCAGCCTGCAAGCGTTCGTAGGATGGTTTTACAGACAAGTCAGACGAAGCTGCTAATAACGCTGCAGCGTCCGAGGCATTAGAATTGACACCAACCGAAGGTCTGCCAGGCGAGTTGTAGACGCCCTGCTTCAACTTCTGCTGGTACAACGCTTGTTTGGATAATGGGCGTCCCCCTGTTTGATAGACGGAAGACATATTAGGTGCAGTTGACGTTTTGATTCTTCAATTGCTGGCTCCCAATGGGATTTCACGCTTCTTCAGACACAAAGATTAAACGAAAAGTAGGAAAAAGAGAAGGGAAATGCGCGCAGACGGGAATACCTGGCACACTATAGAAATGAAATTTTCGTGGCGCTTCTTGCTCTTGGGTAGTTTAAAATGACTGCAAGAAAGAAATTTGAGGAAGAAAGTTGGTGGAGCGCAATACTAAAGCGACAAAGGAGCACCGGTTAATGCCGCTCCTGCACAGTGCTTGAGGTTTCCAAGGGTGGGCCACTGAGCAATAGTGGTGCACACTGCATATTCATCCACTTTTTACTTCCCAATACATCGCAAGAGAAACAACTACAAGCAGTGGAAGCGTCTGTGTGCAGGCGAAACCCTTCCATGACGTCGCCCCACTTAAGTTTGGTCACGTCTTGAATGCGGGTATCAGCTATACTTTCTCGCTTGTGATAAGACTCAGGAATGGAAGGGATGCGATGGTTTGGCTTGCATATGCTATGATTGATTATAGTATTATCCCAAACCTAGCATGTGCATCATGTACGAACCGCAGGCTTCCCAGTATTACAGGAA